CCCCACAAGAATTTAAAGACCTTTCCGAGAATACTCGTGATTACCATTCCTGTCAACACCATTCCTGTCAACCAGACTTTACTATATAATAATACATTGATCTATTGATCTCAATCGCTCTTTATGTAAGGGTTAAATGGTAAGGTCACAGCATTCCTGTTTGTTTTTGCACCTGTTCCACCATCCTATTCAAATTCGCCTCTCTTGCTGCTCTCAGGTCAGCCTCATAAAGAACACCACATATCTTCAGACTTCCAGCCTGCAGCTGCATGACATCGCATCCCCACTCCACCCTCCCTAGCCACGCCTCCAGCCCCATGATCATCGACTTCTCCAAGTTTACTTTCATCCCCGTAGCTCCCCCCAAACATGCACACGACCTCCTCCAATGCCCCCAACCGCGTCTCTTCACTCACAAGAATAGTTGTATCGTCCATGTAACCTACCAAACTAGGCCAAAGCTGCCTCTCACCCGCCCCTCCCCCATTTCCTATACGATCCTCCATCATCCTATAAAAGGGGTCCTGAACACATGCAAACAATAGTTGCAATATTGGACATCCCTGCCTAAGACCCTGCCCTATGTTGACTGCCTCCCCATGCACCCATTTATTTGCACCAGCAAATAAATGGGAGCACAGTGTTTCTACCCACCACATGATTTCCTCCACAAAACCCTGTCTGTTGAGAATATTCTGCAATGCTTCCCTTTTCACCCTGTCATATACCCCCTGCCAATCCAATGCCAATGACCCTCCCCCTTCATTTTTTCCACAAACCCCTTAATGATCCTGTGTCCTGTGTCCATTGACCTACCCCACAACCCAAATTGAGACTCAGACACCACCCTCCCCATTTAAGCCTGTTCCCCAGAACCTTCGCAAACAAATTGTAATCAGCACAGAGCAACGAAATGGCTCAGTAATTCCCCTTCGGGACCAACATCACCATTGCCGTTGCCTGCGTGTCTCCCATCTTACCTCCTTCCTTCATCGTATTCATTAACTGAACCAGAAATCCCCTCAGCAGCCCCCAATGTTGCACATAAAATTCACATTGTAAACCATCAATCCCAGGCATCTTTCCATTACTCATTTCCATAAGTGCTCTCCATATCTCCTCTTCAATGACCCTGCATCCCCCCAGCATCTCTTGATCACTCCTCCCCAGTTTACAATGCTCATACCCACACACTCTCATTAGATCCTCCCCTTCTACCCCTAAACTTTTCCAATACCCCTTATACCATCTGTCGGCATACGCACTTATCTCCTTTGTGTCCCTTAATACCTGACCCTCTTGATATCTTCCCACCGAAGAGGTGACTTCTAAGCCCGGGATTACAGTCGCTTGCTGTCGCAGCTTCTGGCCTCAGAGCATGCAAGCCGACAACCTGTCCCTCCACAGAACCTCCTCCCCCCCCCCCGCCTGCACTCGCACTGCTGCAAAACGGTCCTCCTGCAACTCCCTTATCCTCCCCTTCAACATTCGTATGCCCTCCACTGGATGGACATACTTCCCGCCCCATAACATCCCTGTAATCTGTCTTCTAAGTAATTGGTTAGGCCAAACCGCCATTGATTAATTCGTTTACCCTCCCGCACATAAAATTGATGGATCCTTACTTATGCCACACTATCCCATCATCCCACCACATCCTCCACAGTCCTCCCCTCTGCACGAAGCTGTTCCCATCCTTCCTCACCCCCCAGAACCCTCATGGTCAGTTTTCAATAACTTCTATGCCTACGCACCAACGTCGTCCACCCCACCTCCACCATTACTACCCTATGATCAGAATACATCATCTCAATGGTCTTAAAAGACTCAACCATTACACTCTGCAATAGATATATTCTGTCCAACTATGCCGCATATCCCCTCCATACAAAAGTATGCGCCACCCCCCACATCTCTCCCCCAAAAGCATCTCTTAACTGGATATCCATAAAAGGCCCCCTAATACTGTAGAAAAATACCCCCCCCCTGGGTTCCACATCTACCCTCTTGATAACACAATTTCAATCCTCCCCACAATCGCCATGGATGGTAACATGCATAGGAAGTACACAAGTTCCTCATGCATGTAAGCCATCTTCACTTTCGCATCACTTTCAGCTGGGGCATTACACATATGAAGGCCACTGTCTTAAGCATGCACCATCTTTCCACATGCATGAGTCCCCCCTCCCTCACTCTTATGAAAAGCAAACGGGCTCACCTCCATGATCAACACCCCCACTCCCCCTTTCAACCGATCAAACGGCAGCACAAACGCCTGATATCCAGTTATCACTAAATCACGACCAAGTTTAAAATTGTGTTCCTGTACAAATACTACATCCACATTATATCTGTTCAAAAACATTCTAAACCACTCACATTTCATGCCATCAGACAATCCATTTATATTTATAGTTACACACCTTAGGCTGGTTTAAGGTTTCCATCTCCACCACGTTTTAACACTCTTTCCAGTCCGACCAGTCCCCTGGGCACTACCTTTGCCACACTCATCACACTCCTAACCCCCCCCCACCACCTGCTGGTGTTGCCCTCCCTCGTCCTTTGTGCCGGCATCAGAATATCGTCCGAATCTGACACTGCCGCCCTTTTCCTTGTTACGACCTCCTCCTCCATGGCAGTGTCCTGAGAGGCCGCACGATGGACTTCCACCTCCGCTGTCCTGTATTCCACCCCACGTTCCGCTGTGGTATCCGCACAGGCTGTTGCAGGTGCCATATGGTCCTCCCCTCTCACACGCCACTTACTTTACCTCAACCCCAGACACCTGCCCCATGTGACCCTCCTCATTAGACTGTAATATAGCCCTCATAACCGTCGCCAGCTCCGCCTCTATAATTGTCACCTCGGTGCACACTTGCACCTCCTCGCTCATCGTCGGTTCTGATGTTGGGCTGGTTAACCCTTGGGGCTTCATGCCCTCCCCCATTTCCACAGGTGTAACCTTCACCTCCTCACTCCATTTACGACCATGCCCTCCACCTTGACTATGGTCTTCCTCAGGCACCTCACGCTCATTAGCAGGCGCTTCCCCTCTTGCCAGCCCAGGTGCCCATTTCTGCTTCCCACACACTGCTGTGATATGTTCATATGGCCCGCACAGGCGGCACGTATGCCTCTGCTCAGCATAAGCCACCATTACGCCCGGTGGCCTGGTGGCTAAAGCTCCCGCTTCACACACGGAGGGCCCGGGTTCGATTACCGGCGGGTGGAAACATTCGACACGTTTCCTTACACCTGTTGTCCTGTTCACCTAGCGGCAAATAGGTACCTGGGTGTTAGTCGACTGGTGTGGGTCGCATCCTGGGGGACAAGATTAAGGACCCCAATGGAAATAAGTTAGACAGTCCTCGATGACGCACTGACTTTCTTGGGTTATCCTGGTTGGCTAACCCCCCTGGGTTAAAAATCCGAACGAAATCTTATCTTATCTTACTTGTGTTTTAAACTCTTCAAGGTAGACATATGAGGGTACAGGATGTCTCAGTATCATTTTGAGCATAAAGGTGTCTTCTGGTACTGCCACGTAGGCCCCTGTCACCCACTTTCCTGGTTGGACCATATGAACAGCCCCATATTTGTTGAATACACGTCAAATGTCTGCTTCGTCTGCTTTGAATGGCACGTTGCACAGCTTGACCCACGTGTAATTACGTGATACATCTGTTAACTTGACCCCTCACTGCCGATGTCACGTCAACACAGACATCTTGGAAACGATCCACCAGCGACTCGTACACTGGAGTGGATAGCATTTTCACAGTCTAGATGCTCCATTCATTGCCACTCCATATAATTCTTCGTCCTTTATTCCATACGCCTCACTTATAATCGTTATTGCCCCACGGATGAGCTCAATTCCCACCATGTTTAGTCGACACCTCACACCTAGTGCCAGTTTGTCTCTGGGTAGCTCGCTTGGGAGAACAGTACAGGGGTGTAAAGCACAACCACACTCCACCGCAGCCAGGCAGCATGTGAATTGTTGAGCTCCACAGAGCTTTCACTGTACTTACACTGTCAGAGGGGAGTTACATGTGTTACTGGCTCACGAAACGGCCACAACTCTGATCAACTGTCTACTGGAAAAAGTAAAATGCCCTTGCATTGATCCACCTGTATTAATTAATAAGAACTAAAAAATTAATTCATTTCGAGAAATTCAGTTGATGATTCAGTGCAAGACAACGAACTAATTAGATTATAAAACTAAATTGGAAGGCTCGTGTGGTGTTCACTTTAATTTAAATTAAGCCGGTCACTACCTAAAATAGAACATAAAAACTATTATGCGAACTTGAGGATATAAGCACAACAGAGATATAGAAAAAACTAACCAAATTATAAGAAACTTACATTGTTATTTTAGATGTCATGTGATGTAACACAAACCTTAATAAGACCATTACAAATATAACGAGCTCATTGATATTCATGCAAATACCTGTTTGTTTTCAGAGTCTTTCCTTAGATGTATTCTGATTGTCTCCCATTTCCCAATGTGTTGTATGGTTCCTACTATTACTACTTATAATAGTCATAATAATAATAATAATAATAATAATAATGATAAAAATATGCTATAGCTGCGTAATATAATTTGTATTTAGCTTATGTTGTGAACAAAAAGTTAAAGCAATGTATCTTTCACTTATCCGATAATTTTTTTGAAGTTGGCACTATAGGATATGAATTTCTCACTTTTGCTTCACTAGTTGGAAGGGGTGGAGATGACGTCAGCTCTCCGAGAAACAGCCAGACATTGAACACCCAACTCTAGTTAGCGTATAGGAAACCTGGTGTGGCTTCCTGGAAAGGAACAACAAAGATAGCACGCGTAGCTAACACAAAATGACGTTACTAACAGCTCAGCATAACAAAGTCTGCTAGTTTGTATGGGTGTAGACTATACCTATTAAGTTAATATATATAAATTTATAATTAAAAAATGTGAGATTTTTTCTATTTTCATTCAGATCACTGGTTGGTGGATCTGGTGAAGAGCAATGCAGGGGCTGTCTGGGGAGATGGTACCCTCGAAGAGCAATGCAGGGGCTGTCTGGGGAGATGGTACCCTCGAAGAGCAATGCAGGGGCTGTCTGGGGAGATGGTACCCTCGAAGAGCAATGCAGGGGCTGTCTGGGGAGATGGTACCCTCTACAATAACACACAGCTGTACCAAACTTATCCACTCCGAACATTGGGCATTTCAAACTCCAGTAATAACGTCTATGTCTTTTACCTCGGTTTCTTTTATGACGGCAGCATTAGCACTCCAAGAAAATTTTCTTTGTCAGGTCAACCCGGCAGGAGTGAAGTGGTAATTTATCACTTGCAGGGCAGGAGGAAGGAGCAATCTTGCCTTCAGAAGGAATGTCAAGTAATCTGCACTTAAGAGAAAGAAAGTGAAAATGACGTTTCGGTTCGATCTGAACCATTGACTACATCAGTGGACCCAAAGTTTATCATCACTTTCCCTCTCCAAAGTGTAGATTATATTGTGTGTGGTGGTCGTGTTCCAGAAACGGTATTTTGAGTTTTAATTCTTTATTTAACCACTATTAACTAGACAAAACTATAGAAAGAGGCATATTATTGTATAGGACGTATTTGGATTACTTTCAGTTTTGAATTTGTCTAAACCAAAATACCGTTTTAAACCATAATTTATGCCCAATTCAAAATACCTGATAATCAAGTTGTCATTTTACATTATTATTATTATTATAATCAAAAAGAAGCGCTAAGCCACAAGGACTATACAGCGCTGATGTCATTTTACAGAAATCAGTGGAAGACATGACTCGCCTCTTCTTGATGACGATTAACTCAAACCTTTGTCACCAGAGGTGAAGAAGCTAAGGGATACTGATACTTTTTCAGTAACAATACTTCTATATAATACGTTTTCATGCTCTTGTCAAATTATCTAAATAAATTTTATTTTTAAGATGGATTTTCAGTTGAGTTTAATAATATAAATATATAATCAGCTCTGCACCAGCACGGAATGTAACAGTATACTCAATAAAGTGTAACACATGACGTATTTGTAGTTAATAATCTAGAATTATATTGCTTACTTTATTTAGCACAATACTGGGAAAACACTATGTATGATTACGTTAGGTTTGATTGTCTTCCAACCAAAAAATAATTAAATATAACTCAGAGCAACGAGAAAAGCATATAAGATAAAGATGATAAAATGTTCTGCTTCATAAACGGAAAATTCGCAGCTACTGATTTAGGGGGAAGAAAACAATGTGAGATTTGGAGTGTTTGAGGAGCTTTTATCATTACCCTGTTTGACTGTCTTTATAAAACTCAAGTGTTGCCTGTGTTTCACAGGATGGGCTGTTAATAGTGAATATCTTATTTCATGAAAAAAGATAATTTATATTTTTCATTCACATTGTTGAGCAACTAATTAATATTAAGGCATTATGAAGGATTCTTTAATTCCTTTTTATACAATATTTCTTCACAGAAGATCACCAGAGAACATTATATAGGATTTTCTAATTTATATTATTGAACTACAAACCACCAAATGGTTCTGACAATACATAAATATTTATAATATATTTTTATAACATTTATTGCATAATCTTTTATTACATAATTATAACAAGAGATAAACAAAACACAGATAAATTTACGGTTAATACGTGAAGGAATGCATAAGTGAATATGAAATGTTAGTTACGTTGTGTTATCTCTTGACGAATGTGAGTCGACTACAGGACGGAAAGAACACTGTACTTGTTGGAAACAGTCAGATAAGGTACATGGATACAGGTTTTTGCTTGAAGAATAGGAATGGGAGAGAGAGCATTTGCTTTCCTAGGGCTGGGATGATGCATATTGTTAGCTGTCTTGATTGCATTATGAAAGGCAATGGGAAGAAACTCATTATCTGCTTCAGTGCTGGAGGCAATGATGTCGGCAAGCATAGAAGCGAGGACTTGGTTAAGAGGTATAAGACAGCAAAAGACATAACTAGGAAAGGAGGGCGCCCAGTAATATGTGGCATTTTGCCTAGAAGTGGTCGTGGAAATTAATGGCTGTCCAGAACAATTGGTATTAATTGTTTGCTGAACCAACACTGCAAGGATATTGCAGTACCATTGTTATGCAGGGTTCTGCATGACATTGTAATGTATATACAGTGGAGAAGTGTGCCATAATAATAGATGAATGTTATAATTGTAAAGAATTATTTTATAATTCATAATGTGCATTTGGGGGCACTGTAAAGTACTCTAACTGTAATTATAAAGAAATCCTGCTAGGGATTTATTTTCCAAGGGTGTTTGGGTATGCGGAGTGAGCGTGGCTGGGGGAGTCACGTGGGGTCAGCATGGTGTGGAGGCTGGCGTCGGAGATCCTGTGTATTTAAGCTAAGTTTGTAGTTGTGTACTCCTTTTGTTTAGCTAACCCAAGCCATAGGCTCTTCTATGGCTTACCTGTATGTTCACCCAGGCTCTGACATGGTCAGGGTGCTGTGGGAGGAGTGAGGAAATAAGAAATGGGGTTTGTAGTGGAGTAGTGACGGCCTGGTGCTGACTAGGCCTAGTGGTTATGGTGGCTGGACCTCCAGCCAACTGTTACTTGTGTACCCTCATTTGGGCATTTAGGATTAAGGTGTTTCTAGTGTGTATATAGTGTTATGTTGAATAAATAGATATATTTTCCTAACTGGGATTTTTGCCTAACCCTCTGTTAACCAACCCATTGAAGTAATATACTGGTTTAGTGCTTTCTATTTTGACTGGGATAGCCTTGGGTGGCCTGTTTATGCTTGAGATGTGTGTAACTTTTACCTTTGCCCTTAGACAAAGCTCAAGCCCCCAGCCATCCCACATTTCTGCATAACAACCATTCATCTACAACTTATACAACTGCCACGGCAGAAATGACATGTATGACAGGAATGGGGTTCACTTATGTAGGGAAGGTGAGGGTGCTTAACTCAGTCGAGAGCATTGTCGGGGTTTTAAACTAGGTATAGCCAGAGGTATGGGTTTTGGAAGGGAATTAGTGAATAGAGAAATATATTGATTCAGGCTTTCATATCATTAATTTTAGGGAGAGCACTCATTAATTAACAATGGGTGAAGATGATAACATGAACTGTGGAAAGGCAAAGCTGAGTAGGAAAAAGGTGTAGAAGAAAAAAGCTTATGTTTTATACTAACAGTCGAAATTCCAGGAATTAAATTAATAATTAATGTTTGGTAGTGTGTGCAGGAAATATTGGTGTTATTGCAATAACTTATAAATGGTTTAATTTAAGGAGTCAGGACATGATTTCTGTGGCGTGCTAAGAGTATGTTACACTTCATTCGGGGTATGTCACCCACCCATACACACATGCCTCCCGACCAGCAAACAAGATACTAAGGGTTTGATAATGAAAGGGGACCCCATCGTTATACCAGTACCTCTGTTCAACCAGCCAATCACAAGGAAGCACGCCAAAGCTGTGAAGCGATGCTGTACGCTCACAAACAACTTTGGCAGACTTGCCTTCACCGCTGGTCACTCACGGTTCACCGTGTCTTGTGCTTGCATTTGATTAATTGATCATGGTGTCTTATGCTTGCTTTTGTCTTACTGTGCATACCAGGAGAGGGTTTCGGGGGTCAACACCCCCGCGGCCCGGTTCGCGACCATAGTGTATATACTATACATAGGTTATAATATACTGTACAGCAGAGAATAACTGGATTATATTTCTTTTAGTGAAAGAAATATAATCCAGTTATTCTCTGCTGTCTTTAGCTTGTTCCCGAGTGGTAATTGCATTATGACAAGGTGTGTAGGTTATATCTACACCTGTGTTTCTTATATGGGAGCCTCTCCGCGAGTTTGTCTCCGCATTGTCTCTGCAAGCATGCCTACAGTTTGTCTCCAATTTCTTTACGGACCTACCTTACTTATTACGTTCCGTCCTGTAAGTCGTTCTGTGCTACTGATTTGTGTTGTGAGAGTATTGCTAACAGCGTTTGGTTTTAGTGGGTTATGTCACCAACACATGTTAGGCGATTGGTGACTGAGCCTGTAAAAATTGCCCAGACTATCTCTACAGCGTTGCTGGTGAATTGCTCGATCTGTTGGCATATAATATCAACGAGTTATTGCTGCTTCACAGCTTAGTAAGTGTATATGCAACAATTTAATTGGTGACTTGAGTAAACTGGCAAGCCAAACTGAGGTTTCTGCTGCAACAGCAGCTGTTAATCGCCTGTCCCTGCTGCAGTTCCTTCATAATGCACGAGGACAAATTCCGGAGCAACCGGACGAACAGTCAACTGATGAGACAGGTAGTGAGTCAGGACTGTCTCTTGGGAAGTCAGCTCCATTAGCACTTGAGTTGGCTAATCTCAACCTTGAGACGACCCAAGCGTGTCTGACTGGTAAGTCTCTTGGTGTTGAACGCTACCTAATGAGCTGGATGGTTCAATTAATATTTTATGCCATGGTGGCATATTACCCATGGAGGATGCCTAGTCCTGGCTATTAGAGCCCTTTCGGGGTGGGGTGCGGCATGCTAAGAGTACGTTAGCTTTTATTCGCCGTATGTCTCACACCCATATAGGCTGCCTCCCGATGAACTAATCAGGTGTTAACGGTTTAATCCTCAAAGGGCCCTATAGTTATACCAATACCTCGGTTCAACCAGCCAATCATAAGGAAACCCGCAAAGGCTGCGGAGTAATATGTTACACTAGTGGAAACAACTTTGGCAGACTTACCTTCACTCCTCGATGTAGGTGCTAACAGTTTGTTGGATCTATCCATTAAAAGAACTAAATCTTCATCATCAATATTAAATTTATGCTTAGAGCTCCTTTGGTCAAAATAGGTCTTGTGTGTTTCTATGGAGATACGACTCACGAAATCGTAATGACACGATTGCAAACAAACCATACGACGGGTGAGGTTAGAACCCGCGATCAGAGAGTCTCAAAACTCCAGACAGTCGCGTTAGCCACTGGGCCAGCTATGTATTTCACGAAGAATTATATCTAGTTTGATGAATCTTCTTGAAGCTAGCTGGCCCAGTGGCTAACGTGTCGGTCTGGAGTTTTGAGACTCATCGCGGATTCTAACCCCACCCGTGATATGGTTGTTTTTTTCAACTGAGATAATCAGGTTCTTGACAACTAGCTCAGCAGTTTCTCCTAACCTTTCTATAAGATCTAAAATAAACGGATAAATACCTTGAACTTCAGGGTTAATATCTTTGGACCACAGTTCATTCAGTATAAATAAAGGTCGACGAGCTTGTCTCCCATAGAGTAAATAGAAATGGGAATATCCAAGGGAATCACATGGAATTTCAAATATCGCGAAAAACACACGGCAGATATCTATGCCAATCAGTTTGTTTAAAAAAAATAAATTCTTTAATATTGACTTTAAAATGGCATGTTGTCTGTCCACACTTTCATTACAATTTGGATGCAAAGAATGTTGAACACCCCCAGGTTGATAAACTTGCTCCATTAGTTCAATAGTAAATTATGTTCCTTGATCGGAAAGAATTTCTATTGGTATACTTACCAGTGAAAAAAATAGACAATAATGCCTCAGCAACGTCTGTAGAGGTAATAGATTTCAATGGTACAGCCTCTGGGAAAGTAGACGCATAGGCAGTGATAGTCAAGATACTTATGACCTGATGAGCGAGGAGAAATAGAACCAACTATATCCACTGCAGCTCAAGCAAATGAGACCGAAAAAGATCAGCATTTTTACCGTCAGAACTCTCTTAGTTCCCCCTTTTTGTGAGGTAAGTTGACATACGTGGCAAGATCGGCTAAACATAAAGATGTCATAAGACATTCCGAGCAAAAAGTAAAAGATTTTGATCTTTTCAAATGTCTTATGTGAGAAATGGTCAGAGACTGGAAGTAATTCCTAGGAATAACTAACAATCTTCTACTCACATCACTGGAGTTTTCTGCTGACATTATATTCTTGTATAGAATATTATCTTTATATACAAATTTATAAGAGAGTATCTTTCTCTGGATTATATCACTCGTTGTAGCTAATTTACGTGTTTCTTCGAAAGAATTATAAGTCTTTAGGAGACTAAATCTATTTGAGAAAGTTCAGTAAGATTCCTTTTGGAAACAACCAATGGATGAACAGGTTTTTGCCTAAGAATGCGCGCTAGCAAGGACATTAACCGAGTCCTGTTGACCAGGTTTAGCTTCCCGTGCTCCTTCATGAGCTTCTAAAACATCCAGTTTTGATAAATAAGTTGTGCAGAGTTCCACAGAAGCTTCGTTAGTATCAGCACTCTGATTCAAGTAGTCAGTCTGACTCACTTCTGCTTCTGTAGAGGAAAAAACCAAAGCATTAAAGGGGATAGGTTAGGTAAGGTTCGTCAGGAAACAGGACAAGTGTTCCCTGACGCGGGTCTTGGTCAGCCTTTTGAGCTTTTGGTCATCTAACCGAGGACTTCCGCTGGCTTACCGGT